GGGGGGGGAGGGAAGATTGAATGAAAGAGTTGACATGAAAACCACCAAAAGCTGAAAATTCCATCCATGTCCTTTTTAGAACCATAAGACTTTTTGACATTGTAGAAATCAGAACCAAACTTTGGATTCCCCTTTGTAAAAGTTACTAGAATTTAATGAGATGCTTCTGCCTATCCTTATTCCTTATTGGAGTTTGTCCACTCAGCAACACTCTCACATTGGTTGTGACATTGCAGTTCAATTGTGTATCCCATCATATAGTTTCTCCTTCTGTGTAACACCGGTTGATTATTGGGTTTTGGAGATTCATGATTTTGACATGGTAATATTGTTGTGCTTTGTCAAGTAGATGTCTTGTTGCATATCTTATACCATGTAAGAACATATTAAATGATAGCTTTAGTAATACACAAAATATGGCTAGATTACTGGATTCCATCATCATGCTGTTTGTTATCGTTCCATATGCCTATCCAACAATGACCTCAACAATCGGGTCCTTCTGTTCGCAAGACGTCTTATTGAGGCAACAGCCTGAAATTGTATTGATCATTCGGACTCAACGTTGTGGTCGCTGGTTATTGCCATGCTGCTGCACAACTGCCCCACTTGAGTCATAACCCCAAATCTTGAACTGTCTGATTCAATGAATTTAAAATAACTGGAAATGTCATTTGTCGCAGAGATACAAAGCTACCCAATAAACTAGTTACTGGAAGAAGAAAAAAAGCTACCCGATAAACTTAGCTTGTCTAAACAAACAGCATTTAGAAGTACTGGTTGGTTTTGGAACTGATCAACTTACATACTTGATAACCTGTAAGGCAATGGTTTTCTAATCTCAAAATTGCTCATCCATCCAGATTCCAGAAAGACCTGGATGCCTAACACGGTTTTGCTATTCTTGGACTAGTGCTTGTGGGGTTCTTTGTATGTGGTTGACCTGATCATGTGAAGCTTTAAATGCTATGCTGTGAGAGTCTCCTTCCCTCCCTCCCTCTCACATGTCCTTCACCCATGATAATGAAATATATACAAAAAGGTGACGTGAAGAACTCCAACAGCCTTATTACACTTTCATAAGAAACTTTGGTTGGCAGTTCTTTATTTTATGTTTTACTTACCCTTAATTTTAAATAAGTTTCTCTTCCCTTCGTGTTAAGACATGATAATATATTCGTACTTATAGACAATTAAACATGCCTTACTATGCCGTCAATAATCCCTGCAGCATCCACTTGGCACTTCTGTAAGGGGTTTGTGGCCCACCTTTAAATCCTGTCTAGAACATGAGATTATCAATGTAATGTTCCACTCTAGCCTGACCTCTTCCCGCTTATAGACCTCCTGAAAAAATCAGAAGTTTTGTTTTTCTTATATACATTAGTGTGTGTGTGTGTATACATATTGTAATTATGAATTTATAATGAGAGAGTCATCTACAATCGGGTTGTGATCCTTTGCATATTTGATGCGTGTCCCGCGTATGCAAGGTAGTTGAATTAGAACCTATTAAGACTAAAAAACATTGGATCCGAAAAATATTATTAACATTGGTAGAGGTCAGATTTACGGAGTAGTTGGAAGACAGTGGGAGAATCTCTCTGCTTAATCTATGCTATCAGTTGTCCAAAAGTCAATTGGAATATATGCTATGGGAGAATAAGTTTTACTTGGTTTCTGTACAATACAAGGAATCCATAGAGTCGAGGACGGCATGGGCCATGGAGCGCAGTTTTTCTCCAACTCCAAGCTAACAAGAAAAGGTATCCCACAAGAAATTGTACAATCAAGACCTTCTGTTATTGGACCGTTTTCTTGTTATTCAAATGCTGTCTTCCTTCCATTTATTTTTGGTCTGTCTACTTCCACCAACTAGTCTGGTAATTTCCTATTTTTAACAAACTCTTCCCCCAGAAATTGTACCCAATTTTTTTTCAGAGTTCTATGCATGGAATATCTATTTCAAATATTGAGATACCGCATGTGTGAGAATCCTACGGCGGATGAAATGGAAAAAGATGAGAAAGTGTCCTAATTTATTAGGAGCAGACTCACTATAGCTTAAGTTGTTGAGTATGAGTTTTAATCCTGTATATTATGGCCTTATATCATTGGATGTCCTGTCTCACAAGAAGTGGTGGTACATAGCCGATGAAGAATCATCCTAGTTGAGCTCTTTAAGTGGTGTAGCATGTCGATATCAATGATAGCTCTTAAAGAAGAATGAAATTGGTTATTGGATTTTTAGTGACGGCATTGGTCTAGGCCAACATTTACCTGGTAATGACGTGATGTCTTGAAAATATTTCACGAGCAATTGGAGCTTGCTTTGATATAATGGTGTAAGTGATTGAATGTTGAATCCTCTATGGGGCAAGATATGATGTATATTGAAAATTAGACTCTTGATAGAGGGAATGTGAGCGTGGTTAAAAAAATCTTGGTTTCGAGATGAGTGTGATGCTCTTGTAAAGAGTATTGGATCAGACTCAATGAGGGGCTAAGTTCAATTGATTCACGCACTATTGGAGATTGGTGGACGCTATAGATGTATCAAACCCCCCCCCCCCCTTTTTTTTTTTCTCTTCCCCTTTTTCTTCCTCCACATTGTCCCCTACTTTTGAATTTTTAAGTGAATATGAGTTCCATATATGTATATTAAATCCTGTATCATTGGACTTTTTATCTCCCAATAAGAGCTATGGTCTATTGTTTCAATGATAAATTTCGATAAATGTTTTAGCTTGAAACAGAAGCTGAATATCGAAAACATCAATAGATGCAAAACAGTACCAAGGAATTGAGTTCTTTTTAGAAGATTCGACCTTTGTTGTATGCCAAGGGCCAAGGGAACATGATGTGCAGATGATCTTGCAAAGATCATGTTATGATTCTTGTGCTTCAAAAAAGGATTGTCTTTTGTTAAAGTTCATATTAGAATTATATCTGCGCACATGCCATCTTTTCCCACTGCTTTCCATTTGTTCTTTGTGACCTCCGGTCATTCTTGGTTCTTTCTTCAATCTTTATTCCCTATAAAAATAAATACTCTTTTACTTTGCAAACAAAGCTTTGCATGGTGAACAGAACACTTATGAACTATATCTTGTGTGATGAAAACAAGTTTGAGTGCAAAAAAAAACAGAGTTTGCCACTAATTCTGCAATTTTGGGACTGAGTACATAGCGCCACAAGTTAACATCCTTTGCTCACCAATCTATTGGTAACAGCTGATGCCCTTTTTTTTGTGTTTATCCCTTTCTGCATTGTGATAATTACAGAGAAGTGATGCTAAACTGAGGGACCAAACATCAGATTTCCACGGTGGTTATTCTGTTGGGATTTTGGAAGCCTTAATTAGTGAGACACATACTACCGAGGGTGTACTATGGCCATGGTTTTCTCATAGAAGAGGTGAAATTATTGCAACTGCTGCTTTCTTCGTGATCATCTGTTTCATTACACGAGACCTCTGTGATTCCACTTAAACCCGAGGATGAGGAAGCCGGGGCCAAATTCAAGCCAGTCTTGTCCTTGGCAAGAAAATCATAGAAAACAGGCTTATTGTTTCCCAGACTCCGAGCTCTGTTATCATTGTGGGATTGTGTGATCTCATTGTCATTCTTCATACTTCTTTTCTTCAGAAATATGCGACAGAGAACCCAGTTTTCCTGCAGAATTTAACAGAAACCATAAGAAACTGATACGATATTACATTGTTGTATGGGGGATTTATGCATTTTGTTTGTTCTTGTAGCAAAGTAAATGGTTCAGGAATGGACTCCCTTTGGTTCTGAACTGTGTGTGTGAGAGAGAGTGTATGATTAACAAGGCAAATTAGTGAAGTAGAACATAACAAAATTTCACCTGGGTTGAGTTGTTTGCTTGTGGGGCAGTCCTGGGTGTTGATTGAGCATCTACAAGGCGATATTCGTGCATGATCCAATCAGTTCTGATCCCATGTGGAGGTTTTCCTCTGTAAAAAACCAGAGTTTTTTTAATCCCCACAACTTGGTTACTCCTACAAGTCACAATCTGCTTGTCTATTCCAGTCGCCTTCCAATACCCGGAACCAGTTGCTCTGTTTGATCGGTTGCCATTTGGGTACTTCACTTCCCTGCTGCTGAAAAAATACCTCTCTTGCTCCCAATCACCTAACACACCCAAATTCATAGAATCAGACCAAACTGTCTCAGTACTGTGGCCAACAGTTTTTACACTTAATAAGGTCAGTTGAATTGTTTGCTACATCATGCTCTATTGACATAGTTCAATTAGCATCGAGTTAAATGTTAGCTACATATCTACTAGCTGGATGGCATTGTTGAACGCTTCAAAATTACATTCCACTTCAATGCGCTTGGCTATATTTATGGCTAGTTATCAGTTGAGACACGTAAATATAACAATTGAGGATGCTTACGGGGCCAAGGCAACCAACCTGACAAATCCCANGTTGGTTGGAATGATGAATCAATTTCTAGATATTAGGGAATGGGATTGAATAATAAACCAGACTAAATTTTTTTAAAATGTTAAAGTATATATATATTTAAGTTACATGTACTTTACCAGTTTTAATTTTTGAAGTAGACAATTATTTAATATGATTTTATGTTTAAATTTTCCCCTCACCTAAATTATTAAAAAAATTTATACGTGCTAAGTTCAAAATTTTAAAATGTAACCCCGAGATATGTTTTACAAAACATATAACCCAAAAATTGAAAAATAGAAAGTGTGTGTGTGTGTGTGTGAGAGAGAGAGGAGTAATTAGAAATTATATTTAGGGTATCTAATCAAAGGGTACACGCATGTGTTAACTAGCTTGTTTGTATCAGTGGAAATGGTTAGAAAGATCAAAGATGCCACGGCAGGAGGGGTCCTTGAAATTGACATTCTTCAAAACGAGGGGGCCATTGCAATTGCCATTGCCATTGCCATTGGGGCATCTCTTCTATTCCTCATTTAACTATTATATTTTACTGAGATTTGATTGGTGGAAAAAAATCAGAATAGCTTTTAGTTTTAGAGGTTCATTTTGTCATTGGGCAACAGTTGTGGCCTTGCGCCTTGCTTGAGAGAGAGGCCTTACTTACTGGATGGAATGAATTTCTAGGGTCCTACTTGCCTCCAAAACGATGGGCACCCTTGATTCAGGGTCAGGGGTACCTGACAAATGAGCAAACTTCAAGTGATGCTCATGCATGCCCCCCCTTGTCTTGTCTCACAATTTCGGATCAGAAGGGAAATTTTGGACAAATCGCAAAAAGAATCCTCCTTCCTTCCTGGTGAAAGCCACATATATATGGTCCTTAATAAAAACACGAAAAAATAAAGGGCATTGTTGTAAATTGAGTTCAACACTGAGGAAGAAGGATGATGAACTCTCAGGTGGGAACTGGAAGTAACGTGGGACGGTTGAGATTTAGTTCAACTGGAGCCTCAAATATTTGACAATTTGAACAAGGAAGCCCGATTTCGTGGGGACAAGGGAAACTCACCCACCCCTAGTCCTTTTTTATTTTTTAATTTTTCAAAAAAAAAAGATTCAATTATTTGGAAAAACTAAGAGATATACATATGGAGAAGAGAGAACACTACAGAACTAATTTTTATTTATTGATAGCATATCAAAAAATAAAATAAATAAAACTCTACAAATGGTAAAATTTAACCCCAAAAAATAATAAATTTTACTTCAAAATAAAGTAAATAAATCTCAAAAGTTGACTAAAATGCAATACAATATTCTAAAAAATTAATAAGTGATATAAATAATGTTGAAATTATTTTATTTTGAATAGCGTAATGTAATGAAATGGATGAAGCAGAAGAAGATGAGATTTCCCAAGCAAATGCTTTCGCCCCCCCCATGGGTACACGGTATGGAAAGAAAAGTTAGTCTTTCGTAAGCCAAATTGCGGCTGTGGTTTTTCCTCTCTCTCTCTCTCTCTGATATTTTTAGTTAGTGGTCAAAGTAGGTTGCGTGTGGTTGTTGAAAAGGGTGTCATCAAGGTGAAAGAGAGAGAAACGTCAAAACCTGCAATTATGATGGTTGGTTTGAGTAAAAAAACCTTTCTTTCTTTCTCTCTCTCTCTGCACTTTAGTTTGGTTTGGGGTTTTAGTATCTTCCAATTTTGTTTGTTTGTTTGTTTTATGGGTTTTATATTTAATAAAGTTGGTTTAAACTGTCTGGTCTGAGGTTGCCCTCCTTAGAAGCATTTATTTGACTCCGTGGGAGTTCAGATTACATATCAAAAGTTGCATTTATTATGTAACACGGGAAAAGAAAAAATATAACAAACTGCACGAGTATAGTCATAGATATACTAGGATGGAATTGGTTCACATTCACAGCCAAAAAATGTATGAATACCATCGATAGCTATTCAAGTAGAATCTTCTTTTAACAAAATGTCGAGCCTATCCATTACAAGAATGTTCGACATATATAAGTCAATGAGTTATAAGAACCTAAAGTATCGGTCTCAATGGTCTGATCTCTATGTGTGATGGATATCTTGGTTATAGACCCTGGGATGGCCCAAAAGCTATTTCATGCCTCAAGCCACAATTGAAAATGAGACTTTTTATTTTTTATTTAAAATGAGAAAGAGATGTGAGATATATATCTGAGGTTTTTCAAGTTGTGTTTTGGGGGAGAGAGAGAGGGAGAGATAAATTGAAGTTACAATAAGGTGGTGTGTTTTAATTGCCTGGCTGAAAATATTTCATGAGCACAAACTATTCAAATTTACTTTTGATTGGGTTTAAGTTTTAATAAGACTATTTTAAAGCCTAAAATTTTATGGATCTAAATTTTTTTGATTTTGCTTACTATGCACCTATAAAATTTGGGGCCTTTTTGGAATATGGGCCTAAAGGCCAGGTTTTTCTGGCCTTGCGGTTGGGCCGGCCCTGTATAGGCCTATTGAGCTATGCATGTTTGAAACTAGAAAACCATTGTTTTGTGTGTGTGTGTGTGTGTGTGTGTGTGTGTGTGTGTATACAAGAGTTCCTCCATGAAAAGTTTTTTTCCCCCGGTCAGTAAATGATTTAATTAACCGATCGATGATTATGCTACAAGTATATAGATTATAGATACTGGACTAAATATCGAATGCAAAACAAAGTAAAAGGGGGCCAATGGAATGGCACATCTTCTAGGCCCAATTGTAGAAGATCTGTCATCCAGATGAGCAAACGATCATATACTAGTTATTCTGGTAGCAACAATGGCAGAAAACAAGAAATTGGGTGTTGTCAAAATAATCTACTAAGAATAATTAATATGCAAAGCAAAGCATACCAATTCAAGCAGAATACCCTGCCATGCCATGAGAACCTTGCACAAACTCAAAATTCAGCCTTTCAGGGGCGGAGCTACATTTTATGGGCTGGGGGCAGTTGCCTCCACTGAATTTTGAGCAAAAATCCATATATTGTTATAGGTTCAAAACTTTAAAGAATGTTGCCCCTCATAAATTCAAAAGTTTATATGTTGCCCCCATAAATTCTTAAAAATTATATAGTGTCCTAGTTCTTTTTATTTTTGGTAGGTCAGTGGTCCCTTAATTAATCTACGAAGACATATATTTCAATTGAGTAAAATAAATGTAAAATACCCTTACGCATACATATTTACCAAAGACAATATTGTCTATATTGATATTGATTTCTTGATTTTCACGTAATAATTAAATTTTAGATCTTAATATTTTTTTTTATATTTTAGCTTAAGAATTCGTTATTTGAAAATAATCCTCAATTCAATCGTTTTTAACAGCTATTCAAAAAGATTTTTTTTTAAATACCATTTGATTAATTTTTTGCTCATATTTTTGCCCCCACTAATATGGATATCCAGCTCCGCCCCTGCTTTTAGCATCCCAACCCAATATCAGGGTCAGACCATGTGGTTAAAAAAGGATTAAAACAATGGAGAAAATCACACAATCACCCATGCATTTTCAGACAATTATTTCACCTCTACCAGACCTAAAGGCGGGAGTTCGACACCAAACAATGATGAAGAATTTAGTTCCATGAAATGTGCAGGTGATTTACGTGCAATAAAAAAAAATTAAAAAAAGCTGCATGAGTTTAGAAAATTGGATTCACAGACAAAAAACTAAAGAGAGAGAAAGAAATTGAACCAGAAAAAGGTTCACCATAAAATAGGGTGAATTTCAAACACCTTGACAATCACAGAGGCAATTGCCTATGCCTTCCTGCAAACAACCGGTGGTTTAAATATAGCCCAAGGCCAAGTGTTACTTGGACATAAAAGCTTTAATTTTGACACATGACTCCTTTGTAAAGGACTCCAAAAGGAGCTACAAGCTAACAACTGGTGGTTTAAAACTTTGGTGAAATCTATTTTTTTTTTATGTAGACGTAGCCCTCGTCACATATATCAACTTTAATATTTGGTTTGAAGAATTCCGACTAATAGAACTCTGTAAATCGTAGAGAGAAGTTTATAATTCTCTCTTTTTCCCTTTCTTCATTCTCCAATGTGAAGACTAGCTGAAATGGAGAGAATAATCTAATTTTTCCCTTATATTTATACATCCTTTAAATGTTTGGTCCACGTTGCGTCACACATCCTTTTTTTCTCGAGTTCAATTTTGACCCGAATTGATTAAATTTTGTTCCGGTTCAAGTTCAAAATATTTTTATTTCAACTTGCATTAAATTATTATCCAATTTTCAAAATTTATTCCCAAGTTCGATTACAAGGTCACCCAACACCCGATCGCTTCATAAAACGCAAACAAAAAATTGACTATTTCAGAATTTGACAAAAATTGACAGGATAACTAGATTTCGCGAGACGAATCTAACGGTGAGGTCTGTTTCATTATTTGAGTTCTAAAAAAATTTAAGTTTTCCACCCATACAGTAACGACAAAATTACTGTTTTGTCATTTTTCATAAAAAAATTCAAATTTACCTAAATTTTACACGCTCAATGACAATTGAAAGTATCAGATGAGATCTTGAATTCTCTTTATTCATTGGATAATGCTTTTGAGTTCCTTCAAATTGATACAAGTGTTACATTTTTGACAAATATCATATCCTATATATTCAAACATTATCTATTTTTATAGGTGATCGCTAAAAAAGATAAAAAGTCTATAACTTGCAAAAAATAAACAAAGTCTAACATAAGATATCATATGAAAATAAATAATGTACCATCTTAAGAAAACAAAATGTAGAGTATCATTCAAGAGAATGAAGAGCTACGAAATTAGGTAGTTGCTACTCTCAAGAATGTTGACGAGTTGTCTAAGTTGCTTCAAGAAAATATGCCCAAATAGCAACTTGAGGACAATATCCACATCAACGATGTGAGCAATCAGTTAAAGAAGGCCCTCGGTCCGAGAATAGGGTTTTGCATGATGAGGTAATTCAAATGGCTACTAAAACTTAGAATTTGGATGGTAAACCAAAAGAGGGCGATGACAAAGAAAAGGAGGATGATGATTGGTTATATTTCAAATATCACGTGCGGATAAACAAGCACTACGCTCAAAGGCGGATCACTACAAATTCGGGCTTAAAGTCAGAAAATATTTTACAGAGATTTACAATATAATTTATTTTCAAAGTTTTTGTGGTTTTGGATTGACCTGAAGTTGTTTGAAAATTTTTTAGTACAATTCACTTTGGTAATCTTTGTTCAAATCTTTCACATGTGTTTAACTTCTGTTTTTATATGATAAACATTTGTTATTCCTTTGAGATGGTTTGTTTTAGCTATTAATGAAGTTTATAGGTGTGATATAAGATCCCAGTTGACTGGAAAGTACACTCTACAGAGTTCCATGTAGCAAAAGAAAGTAAAAAGCTATTGGTTAATAAAAACTAATTATTGGAAGAGAGAATTTCAAGGCTTAAGCGGAAGAAAGTTGATGAGGTAATAATACTATATTTTTGATTGAATTTCATTACTTTATGTGTCTATTCATATGGTGAACATAACATGTGTTTGAAGGGCAACACAAATTTCTTCTCCCTATATGTAATGGACAGATTAATATTGCACCACAAACAATAGTCAAAAAGAGCCAGAATTCCAAACAAAAATACAGTCAACAAACGCTCACAACCTGCTTAGTTTCAAATAGAAAAATATTTAAAATGCCGACAACTATCTTCTTAAAAAAATATAGCAGTATTATTGCTACCAAATTT